TAGAATGATTTCCTGAATTATTCACTAAGGTCCCCCTCCCCCACCTTTGTTCTGTTCTTTTTTCCCCCATTAGGGATGCCAATTGTTGTGGATCGCTTCATGATCTTTCATGTCTATTCATTTTCTGTTTTCAACCTTGTACTTGCTTTTCTCAACCCCCATTGTTTCGCCAGCACTTATTTCCTTTCACCTGCCTCCAGTTTGGCCTCTATTTTGGTGACACAGGCTGAATAACTTTACATGGAATTCCTGGGACCATGAGTATTTCAGATTTGGATTTTCTTGGATTTGGGACGATTTATATATATGTAATGAGATGGCCCCAAGTCTACGCACAAAGATCTTTTCTGTTTCATACTCACCTTATGTACATAACCCGAAAGTGACTTTGTGCGATATTCTTAGGGCATCAGTGTTTTGGCCACCATTGGTTATGTGAGGTCAGGTGTGGAATTTTCCACTTGTGACATCATCATGTTGGTGCCCTCAGAGTTTTGGATTTGGGAGCATTTCCGACTCTGGATTTTCAGATTCGGGGTGCTCAACCAATATTTTTATTCTTGTTCTTGTTTCTGTTATTGCCTCTGGGATCTGCCTTCCCGCTTTACTTCTGCTTCTAGAATTTTCCTCCAGAAGTCTCCCCAGAGCTTCCTGAACCCTTGTAAATCCTTTTATGTTTTTGTTTATGGAATCTGTCATTTTGTTACACTTTGTGAATTATGGTAACATGGGCAAATTTTAATCTGTTGCACATGACATTGCTGGGATGGGTGTTCATCTGTCTTTTTTTTAATTTCCTGCAGCATCCTGTAAAGGCCCATTTTTTCACTAGAGGAGTTCTTTATCCACCAGCTCTTTGCAGGAGCCTCCCCCTTGGGCCAGCAGAGAGGGCCCTGGCCCATCCTCATGGGAACCCTATGGTGTGTGTGTGTGTGTGTGTGTGTAGGGATCTTGCAGCCTCTGGGTTTCTCCGCTTGCTGAGACTTGGGTGGTGCAGACCGCTGTTCCTGACACCACCTGTCTTCCTCCCTTCACCTCAGCACTAGGCTGCTTCCTCCAAATGTGACTTGCCTGTGGGCTTCTCATTCCAAGCCACCTGTGCCCGGGAAAGGGACTACTGCCCATCTACACATCTGTCACGTCGTTCCAAGAAAGTCATTGCTGGTTGGTGTTCTACTTATTTTGGGGACCGAGGCTCTACCGTTTTTGTCTGAAAGCCGCAGCCCTCTAAGCCTCTTGCTTCTCTGTCTGACCTCCCCTGCAGTTGGGCAGCTCTTTCTCACAGCCTGTGGACTGGGGCTACAGATGTCTTCTCTCTCCTGCGGGGAGGAGTTTGCATTTTTGTGTGTGTGCTCCTTATGGCTTTGGGTGAATTCCAAGAGGAAGTCTTTAAACCAGGATATGATGGCAAGACAACTCTAGTTTTTAATCTTTTCTCTGTTGGTGAAAAAGCTTATTACTTTTTGTTAATTTGAAGTAGCTTTTCAAATCGAACAAAGTAGTTTCACAAAGAGCTTTTTACTTTTAGGCTTGGAATGATCACGTTAGGGATAATGAAGCCTTCGTTTTGACGGTTCCTCCAGAGTCCAGAGGTCAGAAAGCGAATGGAGGGGAAGCCAGAACAGAGCAGGGGTTAATGTTTATACACGGGAGACCTTTAGGTTGGTTGGACTTGTTTACCTGGAGGATGACCCTATATTCCAGACTTACCGGTTCTGATGCCAAACATCGATTGTGGTTTATGACTTGGAGCATTCCCGCGATGTTCCCTTGGCATTCTTGGGATGCTGGGCTCAGGACTCGTGGCTGGGTTTATGTTTGAATTAAACAGAACTTTCCATGCACAGTGACTGTTGCACACAAGCCGGGAAACAGAACATGTGGCATACTTTGTGAAAACGTCAGTACCCAGAAGTAGAAATGATACAGGCCTCGGGTCATTTGAGGATTACAGGAAAAGGAAGTTAAGGCACCGAATCTCCATTAATCATTAACTCAGATTTTTAAATGCCAGGGTACTAAAAATTTGTGTATGCCTCTGAGGGTCTTGGGCAAGAGGGAAAGAAAAGGTTCTGTTCACGGGATGAGGGCCTTGCTCAGTACTCAGGTAGGTCAGAAGAAGCCTTTGTAGGGAAGGGCTCTGGCACCTTTTGGGGGGTGACATGGGACTTTGGACCCCTTCCTTCCTGTCATAGGCTCCATGGCTGGTTGAAGCCCAGCCAGTCCCGTGATCCTTGACTGAGCAGCAGCAGGCAGAGTGGCAGAGCCCAGCACAGAGGCCGTGAGAGGAAGGGCAAGATCCCCACAGAGTGGGGGGGTGCAGAGGAGGCTCCCTGGTGGAGGGCGCAGTTTTCTCTGGAGATTGCATTTATTTTTAATCATGAGACATCAAACAGGAAACATATACAGAATTAATTTTGCCTGATTTATGACCATTTTGAGCCCAGCTGGTAATGACTACATCACCCCTCACATTGGATTCACTGAACTAATGTGGGCGCTGTCTTCCTGGGCTCAGAGTTAGAGACGAGCAGCTTTGGTCTCATCTTTCAGGACTACTAGGTGGCCCAGCACACCACCAAGCCGGTTAGAAGTCGATTCCTGGTGCGTATTTAGGGCAGGAACAGGGACTTGGCGAGTGTTCAAAAAGGAAGGAGCGGGTCACAGGAAAGAGTCAATAGTGGTCTCTCCCAGGCTTTGGTGGCGGTTGGAGGTGGAGAGTGAGCAACAGGCACTCAGGCTCTACTGTCCCATGGAGGGACACATTTTTTAGGCCTGGGTGATTTGGCTGCTGGCCCAGGTTGTTGATGGGGCTCACAGCCTCTGTCCTGCTGCCCTGGGGCTGGCCTCGCCCGTGGGGCCCCGCCAGAGGATTCACCACCGGGAGGCTGGGCGCCTCCATAAGGAAGTTTCTGGGAAATTTCTTGGGACCTGACTCTCAGGAAGAGGATGAGACGTGGGGCAGGACCCTGCAGAGTGGGACGCCCAGCCGCTGGCTGCCCTGAGGAGTGAGCTGAAGGGCCCCTGTGTCGAGTGTAGGACGCGGGCTTGACTCTGTGCCTCACGCCTGCTGCCACACTGCTGGCTTTGTCACTAAGCGCCCCCTTGGCCCTCTCCTGTCCCCCCCTCCCGTCTTCTCGTCCTCCATCGTCCCTCGTGACCGGCTGGTGGATCTTCTGCCTCCTGGTCCCCCTTTGCCCTCTCCGTTCAAATCCCAGGCTTTCACTCACCCAGCGAGGTGGACTCTGCCCGGCCTGCGTCCAGCTCCACCTCCCTGACAGCCGGGGACGTCCTCTACAACCCCAGCCAGGGTCCTAGACCCACACCTGCCCTCCTGCCTGCCACCTCTGCCCTGCAGGGAAACTTTCCCATCACGGTCACCCTTTGCTCTCTCTCCTCCGAGTAGCTGAGCATTCACACACTGGGTTAATGTGTTCCACAAAGGCGGGTTTATCCATCTCCCCCTCGTCCCATCCCTCTGTCCAAGCTGTCACTCAAGCCCGTCGTTGGCATGGCTTTGGAATGGACGTCCCGGCCCCCGCCCTCCCATCTCTTTCTCCATCACCGATCCTCTGCGGGTTCTCTTTTCTAAGCTGCTTCTTCTGTCACGTGTCACTCTGGCCCCGCGTTGTCCTGTGCCTACAGGGTACGGGCTGCACGTCTCGGCTGGCGCTCGCGGGCCTCGGGGTCTGAGCTCAGCCTGTTTCCACGTGTGCCTCTCGTTTTTCTGCCCACGTGCCATCTCACTTCTGTCCCGAATCCTCCTCTGCGCTGTCCCTCTTGTGTGTTTCCTGTCTCTGTCCAAGGATTGCTCCGCTGTTGAGACACAACTGCGCTCAGAGCCGCCTCCCCTCAGTGGAAGACTCCCCCACCCTGAAACCCTCGTCTTCCTCGGAGGTCGCCTTCCTCGGTGTCCCTTCTATGCTTCACCTGCAGCGGTCGTACAAATGCGCCAGCTGATGGCGTGGTCTTTAGGGAGCCCACACTGAGTTCCCCTCTGCCGGGCTTTGTGCTTAGGTGGGTTGAGATGCAAAGAGTGTGCAAGATTGGGACCTCCTTTAGGGTCCCCATAGTGCCATGGGGGCAGGTAAATGGGCACACCCCTCCACCATTGGGTGGCCTTGACAGAGCCAAGAGCACAGAGAGGTCAACGGCATTTGAGCTGTGCCTCCAGGGTCCAGGGTGTGACATTTGAACTCAGGTGTAAAGCAGTGGTAGAGGCTTCCAGGTGGAGAAAGAAGGCAGAGCGGTCAGCCAGGGACAGGCGCCCACGTGAAGCCCGGAGCAGCACCCCGGTGGCTGGCAGGGCCGAGGGCGGTGTGTCGTGGCAAAGGGTGGATTGTGCAGGGAGTGAAGAGAATTGTTTTGTGTGATGAGGAAGAAGTGAATCGTAAAGTTACTGTAATATAATAATTGAAATACTTCTATTGTAATAGAAACTCCAGGACCCTGCCTGTGTCCATGTGAGGTGTGATCATTCCTTCATTCGGATTAGAAGCTGCCACAATGTGTGTTTTCTCCATTTATCTCGATAATTCCCACACCACTTAATATGTTACTGTGTCCATGCGAGGTAATTAACTGGCTAACGACAGGGCCTGGGCGTTGTTATCTTCTTCCCAACCCGCCTTATCGCGTAGAAAGCAGTGCTTCGCTCACTGTAGAGACTGAATAAAATGTGGAACACAACCGAGTCTATGGCATGAATAATTAAGAGCTGACTGTGAGACTAAGAAAAGAATAAAATATGCAGCAACATGCAAAAATATGCAGATGACTAAAATATGCAAAAATATTTTCATGCCTTGCGTGTCTAAAGGTGACATTGCTGGTGAATGAACTGGAGGCAGCCACATGGGTCCCCGTGTGGGGGGACAGGTGGAGAGCATGCTCACCCTGGTGTGATTTGGAGAAATTCCCATAATAAAGGGGAGAAGATGGTAAGAGTTACTTAAGTAATTCTAAAGTCTCCTGATGTATTTTTCTTTCTTACTGCTTCCTGCAGATATTCTATAAGCTACTTTCATCATGGGGGAAATAGAGCAGAAGCCCACCCCAGGCTCACGACTGGGAGCACCAGAGAATTCGGGGATCAGCACCCTGGAACATGGGCAGAAGCCTCCTCCGACGCCTTCAGGAAAACTCATGTCCATCAAAATCCAGATGCTGGATGACACCCAGGAGGCCTTTGAGGTCCCAGTAAGTAGAGGGTGTGTTTGTGAACCCAAGGGTGTGGGCAGCCTTGGGTGGGAAGGTCTTTCCCACGTCTCAGACAGGAGGTGGCCGGAGAAGGTCTGCCTGTTTGGCTCCGACGACACATTCTTGTCCTGAGCAATCCAGTTTTCAGATTTGTGTATGAATTGCTCATGTGGTGATGTGAATGACCTCGTCACTTGTGTTTTCCTGACTTTCTGCACACACATATCCATAATTGTGCATGTGTATGTATGCATGATGGATCCTAGTTTAATTTGCTAATATCACATGCCATTTCTCATATGAGTGTTTACACGTGTGTGTGCGCGCGCGTGCGTGCGCGTGTGTGTATGTCTGTCTGTCCGTCCGTCTGTGTCCCATTTCACTTGTGTCCAGAGTTCTGGCAAGAAAAATCCTGAGAAATCCACTGAAGAGCCGTATGTGTATTTTCATGTTGGGAAATCAGGAGAGACCGCGTGCGTGGCCTTGGCAGGTGGGGCATGGGGAGTGTGGGAAACCCCGGCACAGGCCCTGGGAACACAGAGGCCCGTCATCCCAGGGCCAGGGAAGGAATCATGTGGTGGCCAGAGGCCAAGCAGAAGGAAAGCCAGTGGCCTTGACCTCTGCACCAATTGCAGCCCCTCGCCCAGACACCTGCCCTGCCCACCGCGAGGCTTTTGCTGTTTCCTGAGCCCTGCCTCGTCCTCCCCTTGGCCTCCTCCTCCAGTGGCTCTGCTAGAGAGTGAGGGACCGCCACCAGCACACAGTACCAGTTACCTGGCGCAGCACGTTCGGGTCCCCAGGCCAGAGAGTACCTCATGTGTTGGGCTCTCCAGAAGCAAGGGGGGGGTTTTCCCTGCAGACCGTCTTCTCTGACCTGCTGTTAAATGGTGCACCTTGGACATTGTGAAGGGAGAAAATAACTCCTGAATTCCAAGCTGCCGACTTACAAACTTTGGGAACACACCTGTTTTTAAAGTGGAGACAGTCTGACCATTATTTTGTTGGCTGGAGCGACCGAGGTTTAATAATTGCCATCAACGGTGGTAACCCATCATTTAATTGTTTATGGGATATAATTCAGTAAATTACATTCATTTCAAAGAACATTGTTCAGAGAGTGTGAATTAAGTGTCTGAGGGAAAGAGAAACCTCACGATAGTCAGGTTTAAAACTGCCAATTTATTGCTCATTGCAAACAACCCTGGCCCCTTTCGAACTCTCTTGTGGTGGGATTCAATCTCGCAGTGACTTGGGGATGCATCCCTATTCCAGTGAACAGAGCCGGTGCTGCTTTCTGGAATCATAAAGCACACTGAGGAAAGCATCTGCAGTGGTCTGAGAATTAGACCTTCTGGAACCTGGGACCTCCCTGCCCTCCCCCTCTTATCTCTTCCTGGCCACTGTTCTGTGAGGCACTCAGTTCAGTGTTTCCTGGTGGGGGCCACCTGCGGTTAAATGGTGCTTCCAAACGGGATTTGGTCTGAGGAGCTGGCAAGTGCTGCCGTCGTCGTGTGTTGGCCGCGGGGTCACTGTGCTGAACTTCACTGTGGTTCTTCAGTGTCCCCACACCGAAGAATGTCCAGGCTTTATTCCTAGTTACTGTTTAGCTAGGGAGTCCCTGCTCAAGAAGTAGAAATAGAATTGTTTTCCTCTGTTAATAATTTTCGATGCTCTATTTTGCACTTTTAACGTCTCTGGAAGGAATCTTTCCTAGCCTCCCAATAAACTCCTGTGCATCCTTAAAGATCCTGTTAGTTTCACCCAGATGCTCCTCCCTGAGGCAGTGACTGTTTGTTTGTTTTTCTTGCACACTTATCAGGGTGGAGCTAGACTGCCTGGCCTCTGCTTTCTGCTCCATAAGAGGAGGAGGAGGAGGATAACCCTTACCCCGTGTTACAGGAGAATTTAAAAAGTCAGTACAAATAAAGTATCTAGAACAATTCTTGGCGCATCCTGGAAAGACAGTATGTACGGTTGGTGGGGCATTGATGTGCTTAGCCACTACAGAATCCGCGTTTCAAGCTGGGGACCTGCCTTCTTATTACACCCCTAGCATCTAGCCTGGTGCCTGACTTACAGTGGGCCCTCATTCAATGCTTGCTGACTGAATGTTAGAGGGCATTTATTTTACAGTAGAACTCAGTGGCATTGCTCGTTTTGACAGGCCTCATCCATTCATATTTTATTTTTCTAGTTTGGTCAGAATGTTTCTTCTTAGTCCATGAGCAACAGATGTTTTCCCTAACTGGCTACAGCCAGTATCAGCATTTCTGTGGATGGAGCGGATTCTAAATTGCTGCCTTGTGCTCTTGGAGAACAGCTCCAGCCAGGCCATCCACAGCTGGAAGCCATCAGGGCTGCCGTGGTGACTCAGTCACGGCACTTGGATTGGAGGACAGTGACTGCAGAATTGCAGAGACCCAGCTCCCAAACCGACTTGTTTTAAAATCTTGCTCCAAAACTTTTTTTGCTGAGACCTCTCAAAGCCAAGTGTCTGGCCCTGGAAGTGTCCTCTTCGCCAGCGCCATCTGGGCCCCCAGGAGTGAATTCTCCTCGCTTGCTTGCGTTTGCGACACAGATGAGCAGGGCACAGGGCCAGACGTCTCTGGAGTTTCCCTCTGGGGTTGTTCTTCTGTGAACCCCGTCTTCTTCCCCCGGGGATCGAGCGCACTGGGCCTCGTCTTCCTACTCTGCCTGCATCCATCTTTTAAAGTCAAAGCAGTCGTTTTAAGTGCAAATTCCCTAGATATTTCTTGGCACCAAGAACCAAATCATACCCCCCCTGGTTGTTTCCATCATTATTTATAAACTTAAAAAAATTACTGTGAAGAGTCGACCTTTTGGAAAGCCAGGGCAGAGAGCGTGGCAGTGTCCTCCGTTCTGTAGTCAGTTCCACGGCCACCTTTCCTGCTGAACTTGGACCGTCTTTTCGGGTACTTCCTCTGCTGAGAGGAAAACTCAAAAACAGTATTTATGGTAAGCTCTTGCATGGTGTTTTATCATCTCTGGGTGGAGGTGGTAAGACATAGTGACTCCTGGGCTCTGGAAAGTTAATAGCACGTCCCCCTGCCAGGCCACCTCCACTGAGGTCCCTGAGAAGGTTTAATGTGCCCGGTCTTCACGACCCTCTGGTAAACAAACCTCGTTTCTCTGACATTTGTGGGGTGAGGCGGATGGCTTCTTCCCGGTGTTTACTCTTCTCATTAGCAGTGCCATGTGGGAGGAGCGAAGCACACAGGAGTGGAGTGGAGCCATGTTGGGCCCTTGAGCAGGCCTGGTCATAACGGCACGCGGAGAAGAGGCTCTCAGGTGACGGGAAGATGCACGTGGCTGCTGCAGAGCTGGCAGGGCTGGAGGGGGACAGTGCAGACCCCACCTGCCCCCTGAACAGTGGCAGGAAGAGCTCTGCTCCATGAGGATCATCCCAGGAAGTGACCCTTGCAACCTCTTCTAGTACTTGCATCTCGGTGTCCCTTTCCTCAGGCTCCTGTGCAGCTTTTCAGGGTGGCACGGCTCTTCTCGTTTGTCTGAGGATGGCGCATGGCTCTCCTTGTTCAGGAAGTCTGGGAGAGGGCAGCAAACCTTCACAGAGGGTCTGCTGGGCACTGCCCGGGGGCGTCGGCTGCTCCAGGGTGACCTCCACCACAGCTGTGTGTTTGCTTCTGCATCAGCCCCTCATGACGGAAAATCCTGATGGGTTTGTCTGCTCAGTGGTGACCTCCGACAGGGGGCTGGAGAGCTCCTGGGGGTAAGGCCTCTTGTTCATCATTTCTCCCTGCTCCTGAGGGATGCCTGGCTCCCGGGGACACTCAGTAGGTGTCACTGACTGTCCACACTTCAGATCGGTTGTTTGGTTATCACTGTTTGAGAGACAGTGGGTGCTGTCCCTGGATACAGATGAAGGGACCCACAGGAAGTCTCTCCAGCCACCTCCTCAGGAGTGGCTGAACGATGTCTGAGCTGCCTCCCCTTGTGGGACCCCAAGCTCCCCGTCCTACCCACTGTGGAGTGCCGCTCACGGATGTGATGTGGCTCAGGAGTCTGGGGCAACTGCTCTGAGCCCTTGACAGCAGAGATGCATGACAAAAAGAGATCAAGTTGAACCTCTCAGGAACACTTACATATAAAATATATAATATATATAATATATAATGTATGATATTTATATATAATATAACATATACATATATAACGTACATATAAATATATAAAATATGTATAAATGAAAGTGTCAACCAGTTCATTGAATGCCCAGAAGATCTCTTGGATTTTTGAGAGCAATGATTGGTCTGCACGTCACTGAAGAGGCCATGTAGGTGTTGAGACCTAATTAGGAACACTATAAAGTCGGGCCTTGAGTGATTAAACAGTGGGTGTGCTTTATTACCTTTTTATGAAACATTTTCTTTAATTCTCATGACACCTGGGTGGGGCCTCCATGGGGGTCCCTTCTTCCCAGGGCTCATCTGGGGCGGGCTTCAGTGATGGTGTGTCACCTTAAAGCTGCCTTCCCGAGCTCCAGCTCCCATGAAGGGATGGGGCAGAGATTTTTCTTTTTTTTAATACTAGGGATTGAAACCAGGGCTCTTAACCACTGAGCCACATCCCCAGCCCATTTTATTTAGGGACAAGGTCTTGCTGAGTTGCCTAGTGCCTCGCTGAGTCACTGAAGCTGGCTTTGAACTCACAACCTTCCTGCCTCAGCCTCCCGAGCCACTGGGATTGCAGTGTGTGCCACCGCGCTGACAGAGGTTGGTCTTTCTAAAGCCCCTCCTCTTCTCCTTGTGGCCCTTGGGGAAATCCCAGGCTTGAGCTCACCTGCAGCAACCGCATGTAAAAGTGCTTGATTTCTTCTTGGATTCTAACATTTTTTCAGGCATCTGATCTCCCTTCTGTTTCTCTTTCAGCCATCTTAGGCTGGGGGAAGCTGCTGCATGTCTCTTCCTCTCTTTTCCTCCAAGGGGGTGAGATGCACATTTAGCTAAAGGCCCTGGGGTGGG